AATGGGCGAGGGCGACGGTTAAGACGGTTGAGTTTTGAAGGAGCCAATGATTGCTCGCAGCGGAGAGTTTAAGAATAACAGCCCGGCGTGCCTTTAGCTGGTCGGGGAAAGAAGGCGTTCGGCAGACTCACGCACCAACTGTGAGGAGCCGGGGGTTTGTGCCTGGGAAGGCCGCGTACCGGGAGGTGCCCGACTGGTGGGAGCTGTGGCCGGCGGAGCCCAGAAGCCCGGCGCAGTCCCGAACTCGGTCGCCTCTTGCCCCTGTAGGCACTGTCATGGCGCAGTTCGTGTTCGAGAGCGACTTGCACTCTCTCCTTAAACTGGACGCGCCCATCCCCAATGCACCCGTTGCGCGCTGGCAGCGCAAAGCGAAGGAAGCCACCGGCCCAGCTCCCTCGCCCATGCGGGCCGCCAACAGATCTCACAGCGCCGGCCGGACCCCGGGCCGAACTCCTGGTGAGTTGGGGGCCGGGAGTGGGAGATAGAATCTCTGAGAGTTGAACTCGGAGCTCCCTCCAGCAGCCTCGACAGACTGTCTTCTCTCTCTCTCCCCCTGCCCCAGGCAAATCTAATTCCAAGGTTCAGAGCACCCCTAGCAAACCTGGAGGTGACCGCTATATCCCCCATCGCAGTGCTTCTCAAATGGAGGTGGCCAGCTTCCTCTTGAGCAAGGAGAACCAGCCAGAAGACGGGGAGACGCCCACCAAGAAGGTATGATTCCACAGGGGTCATGAGGCATGAGGCCTTAATGTGTCCCTTGAACGATGGCGGTATGCCTCACCATCACCTCTCTATGCCAGGAGCATCAGAAAGCCTGGGCTCTGAACCTGAACGGTTTCGATGTAGAGGAAGCCAAGATCCTCAGGCTCAGTGGAAAACCTCAGAATGCCCCAGAAGGTTGGTGTCAGCCCCTCCTAAGGGAGACATGTGCCTGCTTCGCCCGAGTAAAGACGAGGGCATGGGTGCTATCAGTTTCAAGGTCTAGACCCACTCTGTTGCCACAGGCTACCAGAACAGACTGAAAGTGCTCTACAGCCAGAAAGCCACGCCTGGGTCCAGCCGGAAGACTTGCAGATATATTCCTTCGCTACCAGACAGGATACTTGATGCCCCTGAAATCCGAAATGACTACTGTAAGTGTTGCATCATTGTCTTTGTGGATGGAGAAAGATGGCCTGGGAACGGGCCAGTCCGACAAAGGACCTCATGTTCCTTTCTTTCTGCCTCTGGCAGACTTGAACCTTGTTGATTGGAGCTCTGGAAATGTACTGGCTGTGGCACTGGACAACAGTGTGTACTTATGGAATGCTGGTTCTGGTGACATCCTGCAGCTGTTGCAAATGGAGCAGCCTGGGGACTACATATCCTCTGTGGCCTGGATCAAAGAGGGCAACTACCTGGCTGTGGGCACCAGTAACGCTGAAGTGCAGGTGAGACTGGTACCTGTGTTGTGGCTCTGTTGTCATCAGCCCCAGGGAGGAGGTAGCCCAGCTGGAAGGATGTTGATGCCCAGCTCCAGTCTCTGATCCCATGGCCCTGCCTCTGCAGCTCTGGGATGTGCAGCAGCAGAAACGGCTTCGGAACATGGCCAGTCACTCGGCTCGAGTAAGCTCTCTAAGTTGGAACAGCTATATTCTGTCCAGGTCAGTGGTTTTTGCTAGTCCGTGGCCATCTGGTTTCTGTCTGCCTCTTACCACTGAGGGCACATCCAGAACTGAAGTGGCTCTGACTTGATTTTGTGCTGCCTCAGAACTCTAAATCTCTTTCCTTCTCTCTCAGTGGTTCACGTTCTGGCCACATTCACCACCATGATGTTCGGGTAGCAGAACACCATGTAGCCACACTGAGTGGCCATAGCCAGGAAGTATGTGGGTTGCGCTGGGCCCCAGATGGACGGCATCTGGCAAGCGGTGGCAATGATAACGTGGTCAATGTGTGGCCCAGTGGTCCTGGAGAAAGTGGCTGGGCTCCCCTGCAAACATTCACTCAACATCAAGGTGCTGTCAAGGTGAGAACTGCATTTAAACTGAGGTCTCTGAAGACCCTCAGCTATCAGCTAGGGACTGTGAAGGGGGAGATGACATGGTAGGGATAAACGGGTTTAACTGTGACATTTAAAGCTTCTTGACCCAGCCTTTGTCCATCCTGTCTAGGCTGTTGCATGGTGTCCCTGGCAGTCCAATATTCTGGCAACAGGAGGAGGCACCAGTGACCGACACATCCGAATTTGGAACGTCTGCTCTGGGGCCTGTCTGAGTGCTGTGGATGCCCATTCCCAGGTAGTTTTTGTGGTGACTGATGTTGTAACCTAGTCCAGCTTCTGTTTCTAGGTGTGTTCTATGTGACCTTTCTGAGCAACCAATTCCATTCCGTCTCTATACCCAATGATTTCTGAGTTTCTAACTCAGCCCTCATTCTCCAGTTACCATTTTCCAAGTTTGGCCTACCTCCAACTCTAGGTCCTCTAAGTATCACCTCCTCCATATGTGCCAAATTAAGCTTGTCACTTCACCTTGCCTTCCTGAAGAGTATTGTTGTTCAGAGTGGCAGATCCTACTTAGAACCTCCTAGTTCATTGTTCATCTTCATCAAGAGAATTGTTTTATCTTGGAATATCATTCATATCTGTCCCTCATCACTGGGTCTCATCATTTATTTTTTGAGACAGTCTTGCCCTGGCTGGCCTCAGACTTGCAGTGATCCTCCTGCTTCAGCATCCCAAGTGCTGAGATTATAAGTGCAACTACCATGCCCAGGCTCCCAAGCATTTCATTCTCTTCCAGTCTTCCCTCTCTATTTCTCAGTCTGAGTGGTATCTTACTGTTAAAACTGTGACTCCCACAACCTACAACATGACCCAAACCCATTAGAACATTTGAGGCTCTAGCTGTTGGTGTTTGCCTTGCTGTAAACACTCCAGTTTCCCCTCTGTTCATTTCCCTCACTGCAGGCATGGGCTCTAAAGTCAGATAGTTGGAGTAATTTTTGGGCAACTTATGAAACTTCCTACTGGTGGATTTATCTTCCATAAAATAGATATATTTATCTTAAGGGACTTCATTAATGACTGTGAACCATTAAGTTTGAATCTGTAGCACCTGGTAAAGTTCCTAATACTAGAATGAACTCAGTTCTGAGTAGCCCAGGCTATATGTCATGCCCACAACAACTCTTTTTCCACAGGTGTGTTCCATCCTCTGGTCTCCCCACTATAAGGAGCTTATCTCAGGCCATGGCTTTGCCCAGAACCAGCTGGTTATTTGGAAGTACCCAACCATGGCCAAGGTGGCTGAGCTCAAAGGTAGGTGGCTAAGGCAAGCCAGGCAGAAAGGCTACATAGTGTATGATTTTATTTATATGAAATGATGAGAATAGGTAAATGTGGATACAGGGTTTGCTAGTGGCTTTGGAGAGGATGGGAAGTATGATTTAGAATGTCATGATACTAGTTGCACAGCCTTATAAATACAGTAAAACCACAGAATTATTTAAGAGGATAAATTTACGGTATTCAAATTTTATTTCAAGGTGACTAACAAAATTAGAGGGCTGTGTGTCTCTCTACTCATGCACTGCTCTTACCCTAGGTCACACAGCCCGAGTCCTGAGTCTTACCATGAGTCCAGATGGGGCCACAGTGGCATCAGCAGCAGCTGATGAGACTCTACGGCTGTGGCGTTGCTTTGAGTTGGACCCTGCCCTGCGTAAGGAGAGGGAGAAAGCCAGTGTAGCTAAAAGTAGCCTTATCCACCAAGGAATCCGTTGAAAACAGACCCCTCTTGTTTTTTTGTTTTTGTTTTTTATTTTTCTAATAAAGCTATTTCTTCCTTTTTTGTGTCCCAAGCATCCTTCCAAGAGGCTGCCCCTACTCTAACTAGAGCTAGAAGTCTAAGGGAACATGTTGTTGTTGTTGTGATACTGGGGATTGAACCCAGAACCTTACCACTGAGCTTCATTTTTATTTTGAGACAGGGTCTAGGCTAACCTTAAGTTCGTGAGCTTCCTGCTTCAGCAACCCTCAACAACTAGAATTACTGCCTGCACCACTATCCCTTCTATAAGCTGTGTGCCCCACCTCCATTTATGCATACACACGATCTCAGTGGTTTCCTCTGTCACTTTAATTAAGACAAATGAGTACACAGCCTGTATTGTCAGGCCTGCTGCCCATCCTGACCTTTGGCCCAGAAGCTCATGCTTCAGTGTGGAGTGAAAAAGGGAGCCTGAGTCCATTGTGACAGATTATTGCTGACCTCTTCAGTGTGAGGAGAAAGGCCACAAGACCCTGATTGGGGCCAGCCCTGAGTGTTCCTCTCCCAAGTTTAAGGCAGGGAGGGGGAAGTAAGTGTCCAGCCCTTTCAGCCTCCAGTTCTGGTGGCAGACAGCAGTGAGGCCACATCCCTGGAGCTGGCTGGGAGAAGGGATGGGAACAGTGGTCCCTGTAGACCAGCTGTGGGAGGGGAGAGCCAGTCCTCCTACTCAGTCCTGACCACCTGAGCCCTGGTCATAGGTGTAGGTGGAGAGGACACTGGTGGATGCTGCCCAAGGTGCAGTCCTGAGGCACTTAGGTGGGCAATATCTAGGCCATGCTTCTCAGTTGGCCTTGACCTTGGTGATAGCTGGAGTTCCATTTTGCTGAACAGCACGGGGCAGCCGCTTTCCCTTAGTGTAAGAGTGATACCAGAAATTGGAGAAGAGCACAAAGAAGATGGTGCCATACATCCAGATGAGGTGGATAATGACGGGATACTGGTAGTTGCAGCTGGGCATGAAGTAGTATTGGCTGATGTGCAGTGAGACCAGGACAAACTGGATCTGGGATAGAAAAAGGAAAGGGTCATAAACAGGTTTGGGAGGGAGGGAGATTAGAAATAGGTAAAGGCTTTCAGGAAGGATAGGGTGAAACTGGTTGATCCAAAGACTAAGGAATATTGGGGGTTTGGTTTTAGGCCCACCAGGCCCCTCACCAGCTGGATGGCTGTCATATGTTTTTTCCACCAAAGGTAAGGCTGAGCCACAGGACCAAGGGCAGACAATCCATAGTACAGGTACATGACAACATGTACAGAGGAATTTATCATGGCATGGAAAGAGCCCATTCCTCCTAAGATGGAAAGAAAACTGCGTCAGGAGATAAGCCTCTGCCCCCAGTGGCCACCCTCCTCTCCACTGGCCCTGACTGCTCACCTGGAGCAATCTTTATCCCCCACCACCAGCTCCAGGGAAGCACTGAGTGATGGAAGACATGTAGGAAGGTCACCTGCCCGTCTTTCTTCCGGAGAATAAATATCACCTGAGAAAAGAGTGGAGGAAAGGTTGAGTGCCAGTGCCTTCCTTTCTACCCCCAAGTTCTAGGATCTGTAATTACTCACAGTGTCCATCAGCTCAATGACCTTGGAAAGCATGAAGAGCCAGGCCACTCGAACCATCTGTGAGAAGTTAGATCAGTCTTAATACTTTTTACACAGTACCCAAAGAGTCTGGCCAATCATACATAGGTCTTTTCTGACGGCTCCCTTATCTAGGTTGCTTATGACTTACCCTAAGGCCCTACTTACCCGAAGTGCCTCAGGACTATTGGAATAATCCACAGGGTCACAGCGCCAGGTGTAGGTACTCAGCCAACCAGACATTAAGAACTAAGAAAAAGAATGTGGCTTAGACCAGCGTTCCCCTCTCCCAGCAACCCCTCCCCTTCTCTAAACGAACCTCTGGAAAGTAGGCATGCCATACACTGTCCCATGCCCTATGCCCTAACTCTTATCCTGCAGTCAGAAACTACAACCTAGGCATTCCAGCCTACCTCATAGACAATGTAGAGGGAGAGTGTCACCAGTGAGAAATTGTAGACAATCATGAAGCCACGAAGTTGGAAGGGCTTCCGATTAGCCATGATTCGAGGCCCAAGTGAGAGGACAAAGTACACATAGGTCAGAAGGATGGATGTAATTAACAAGGGTGACCCCATCAGAGGGTAGTTCTGGATCCGGGGATCTGTGAATAGGAGGTCAAAGGAGTTAGGGTCACAGGGTTCAAGATGCCTTTCTAGGTCTAGCCATGAGATCAGGTCACAAAAGGGGTGAAGTAGTTCATAAAGACTTCATTAGGACATAACCCTAGATCCTGGGATCCCAGGGAAGTTGGGAAGGTATGGCTATGGAGGGCAGCTTACCTGCATGCTTCATCAATTCCTGATACAAGTTCGTAACAGCCTCCATCCTGGCTAAGGACTGAGGAGAGATGGAGAGTAGACATCAGATAGGGATCACTGCATGCCCCCATCCCACACTTGGCCCACAGAGACAAGATACAGAATCAAACAACTCTTGATGCCTCGCTGATAAATGGATAGGACTGTGAATATAGCTCAGTGCTAGAGAACTTTCCTAGTATGCACAAGACCCAACCATGGGGAGCCGGAGATATACTGGGAGAAAAGGCAGTCTGGATGGAGCATCTGCTCCCCAAGCATCCTGTCTGTCTAGAGAGAGCTGTCCCACCCTTCCTCTCCACTCCTTCCCCTCCTCTCTACTCCTGAGTTTTCCTTCCTGGCTCCCTCCCTTCCTCTATGCGGGAACTCTGAAACTCTGAAGGTAATGAGACCTCCTGGAGCCTTATCCTCACAGCACAGCTCATCTTCCCAGTGAACCGCCTCATGCTTCCTGGCAAGCAGTCCCATGTCGTCCCCCCCCCCCCCCCCCGGGGGGGGGGGCCCCCCCCCCCGGGGGGGGGGGCCCCCCCCCCCGGGGGGGGGGGCCCCCCCCCCCCCCCCCCCGGCTGTGAGAGGTCACTCCTCTCCAGCGACTCTCCCTTCAGTCTCTCCACTCTTACTCCCCCTTCTCCCAAGTAAAGTCCTCTGGTTTCTTCCCAAGACTCCCATCTCCCCTCTGTCCCCTGCCAGGACTCCCACCTCCACGGTCTTTTCTGTTCCAGGACCTGGACAAACCTAGGGTTCCACTTCTCCCTTGCTAAATGTAAGTCTCCCAGGCGTCCCCTCTGCCTTCTGGGTCTCTCACCTCCAGCCTCCTCCTGCCGTCCAGTGCTCTCACCTCCAATGCTCTCTCCTCTCTCTCTTCCACTCCAGGAGCCTGGCTCTTTGAGACTCCTGCCCTGGCGGCTCCACCTGTCTGACTAGCTCTTGCAGCAGCCCCGCCCTCTGCCCGCCCCCGCTACTTTGGGCATGGGGTGGAGGGTGGGTCCAGGCCACAGGTCAATGCCTAGAGGAGCAGGACCCACCAGAATTGAGAAAGCCAAGAAAGGCCCCAGACTCGCCGCTTAGATAGGCCAGATAAGCTGTTGTAGGTTCTCCGGAAACTTCTAGGCAGGACTTTGGTCAGAGGAATTGCTAAAAATCCACACCCAGTATTCTCTCCCAAACCAGCCACGAATTCTTAGTTTGTCCTACTTGAGAATGGGCATCACCCTGCCCTTCCAGGGAGGGGTAAGGAGAGTGGTATGTGAGGAGGTGGGAGAGTGGGGGAGGTCTCAGGAACCCTCCCTCCTCTGGAAGGGATCCTCATGGGCTAGGCCACCTCCTCAAAGTTGGAAGGAATGTCAGAGGAAGGCTTACAGGGATACAGAAACAGCCTAGATCCAGGAAAGCCTAGGACTCTGTCCCTGAGGGATCAGGCAATTACCCAACAATCGAAGTGCTCCAGGTGCCCTCCATCACTCTTTCTCAGGGCTCACATCTGCACGCTCACACTTAGACACACTTGCCTCACACAGTTCTCAACCACCCCTGACACACACGCACTATACCAGGGGCTAGCACTAAGGGCTAGCAGACAGCCCATGCATATCTTGGGGACTACACAACCAAAACAAGCCTCCCAACTTTACAATGACATGCCAGGCTCCTAAATCTTACCCCTGGTGGGGACTGCACTCACAGTGGCACTCACACTTAACCAGGCATGGACACATGGAGGGGTGAGGGCACATTGCCTCACTCACCTCCCTCCTTCACAAGCTCTTGGTGAGCGACACTAATCATTTCTGCACACACAGTCACACTTTTGTTGGTGGCTTATGTTGTAATGGGGCCTAGCACTTAAGCATGTGCTCTCACACACAGTTCCTCTCTGACACATGTGAGCTTGCCAGTTCTTATCTCCCTCAACCACCTCCTCCAGTTTACTCCCCCCTCACCACCACATACACCGGTACCCTGGAGAACAGGAGGGAGTCAGACTTCTGGGAAGGATCTCTCCCTAGGCTTGAGGGAAACCCGGGTGTGTCGTGTGTCCCCCCCCCCCCCCCCCCGCGGTGGAACACGGCCAGTTCCTTTAAGGATGGAAATGAAAAAGGGCACCGGCAAAGGGAATGAAGGAAAAGGGAAAGGAGGGGGCATAGTGGGCACGGCCAGGAGGGACTGGAAAAGGTGTGAGCAAATGGGGGTCAGGGGCCAAGGTGTCAAATGAGGGAGCATGCTGGGCTGGCCCGGCCCCAGTAGCTGGGACCTCCCACCCACTCGCCCTAAGAACAGCCTCGCCCACAGCCTGGGCAGGGCAGGGCGGGCTGGGCAGGGCAGGGCTAGCCCGGCCAGCCAGGTAGGGGGCGCTGGCACGTGGGGAGCCATGGAAGGTTCACACTCACCAGTGGGAACCAGGCGGGTAGCAGTGGAGGGTTCGGAGGGATCAGGGCCAGAGAGAAGTCCCCAGGGCCGCCTGCCGGCCACTTCCTCATCTGCTGGGCCGACTTTCTGTCACCAGAGGGGGAGGGGGCGGGTCGGGCGGGGGGCGCCTGCTGATTGGGCGGCTGGCCGAGGCAGGAGGGGCCGTCCAGCACCCGCCAGGCCGCCAGGGCGGGAGTAGGGGCGGATCGCCAGATCCCCGGGCAGGAAGCACACCCAGCCTCAGCTCTCCACCCCTTCCTTCGCATCTCTTAGCCTGCCCTGCTGATGACTGCCTTGGCCCGCACCCAGCTCCTTCTAGACGTCCAGCCTGCATGGTCGGTCTCATTCGCGGTGCTCTGTCCAGTCCAGCATTAGGACCCACTCATCTGCTGTCTGCGACAGGCGCGGCTTAAGACTTCAGGGAAATTCCAGGGTTCAACCATCCCCTCAAGGCTTCTCCAGCAGGGGCAGAGAAGGGCCAGCTGTGCCTGCTTAGTGCTGATTGGGGTGGCGGGAGGCCTTAGCGGGAAGCAGCAGCTTGCCACCTCCATGTCTCTCAGAGCCTATAAACTTGGATGAGTCCTGGCTTTAGGAGCCACAGAGAGGATTTCCTGGAATGGAGATGGGAGAATACAAGTGGCCCCAGGCAAAAACTATGAATCATTGTCTAAACTAGCCTTCAAGGTAGTGGGTGGGGGTGAGGGGAAGGCAAGTGAAATTGGATGTGGTTCAATATAGTAGATCCCGAAGGCCACATGAGGCTGACTTTTATTCTAGAAGCAGAAGAAAACAGGATTTTTGAAGCGGCTCATCTCAGACATTTACCTTCCGTCTACAGTGTGCAAAACCACATTAAGCTCTGGTTCTGGACTTAACATAATTTACAGTCCTGGTACAAGTAGAGAAACCAGGTGAGAGAAAACCTGGACCTGAACAGGAAACTGATGGGATTCAGAAAGACAGATGTGGGTGTTTCTATTTAGTTGTCAATTCAAAACTACCTGGCTCCTCACCCGGTAGCCCAAATTATAGGACCAGGTTTCAGTGATATGAAATCTCTATCTGTTTTGCTTATAATAATCCGATTACAGCCTGGACAACTGGATGCTGTACATACATATCGAGTCGGATTCAGAAGAGGCAGTGACTAAGAGGGATAATACGTTGATAACTGGTGGACATAGCTACCTAGGCAGGGTCATCTTAGAGTTTGGTAAGAGGCAAAAGCCAGAGTACAGTTTTGAGCATACCTTAGATTATCTGTTAGTGCCTACTCTTGACAAGAACAGCAAAGCATTTACTTCCAAATCCAGTCTCCTTAGCACTGTACCCTAAACCCCTAATCTCTCTGATCGTCTATGTCATTCTCAAGCCACAGCCTGCACTTCAGCCATCAAATAATGTCAGCATCCTTCCAGTCAACATCCATGATGGATCTTATCCAAAACTTTCCAGTGGAGCATTCAGGATGATGCTCTGCATGTATGCTTAGGAAAGACTTGATAAGTAAATGTTCACAAATTCACATACAAACATATATTGATCTATGGGCCTGCCTCCAACTCTCTGGCCTTTCCCTTGGCTCAGCACAACAAACAGTCGATCTCCAGGCAGCAAATCACTCCTGACTCTGGTTTATTATCATGCAGTTTTCTGTACCTCTCCCAACTCCAAGATCCTTTCAGCAGAAGCTCATATTTTAGTCATGTCTCTATCTCCATAAATGGACCCATTGCCTGTTATTCAGTTAGTTGCTCCTACACAGTGTGTTGATTGGATGTTAGAATGAACAGGAGAATGGAAGGGAAGAGGGAGAAACCAAGAGATCCAGAGTCAAGAGAGGAGGAATAGTAAGACTCCACATATTTACATTTCTCTGGAGAGCAGTATTGTTGAGTTAATATTCACTGAGGTCCTAATGTCTTTCGTGTTTACTTGAACAGCTTTGAGGCCATTCCTGACTCTGAAGCTGAGTTTAAATGTCCCAGTTAATATGTGTGTGATCATAGATATACAGTGGTGCCTCCTAAAATTGAGAACAAATAGTACCTAGCTGATAGGATTACCAGCTAGGTTAAAGGAGATAACCCATGTAAAGTGCTTATCACTGTATCTCGCCACTGATAGACAAGGTAAGAAGCAGTCCAACACAGCAGCCAAGCATGTGTTTGTATATGAATTGATGGGTGCTCCTTTAACAGGTCTTTCCTAAACAATGTACAAATACATAAGCTTCTCTGAAAGTCCTACTCAGAGATTTGGAACTACATATCCATTATGAAATTGCAATGGGAAGATGATGACGCTGTTCCAAAGTTAAACAAACAGGAAACTTCAAATATGTACGTATTTATTTGGGTCACATTGATAAATGAGTATGGTAATGTCTCAATAAATGTTGTCTGACTACATGAATGAATGAATTCAAAGACTCAGTTCTTAACCTGTTACTGACAGAAAGCGTCTTCCAATATCTGATGCAGTCCATGTCTACCAAATTACCAAATGGCATCTCCTTGACCAATGGATTCTTGCAAAGCCTCCAGCCTAGGAGAGCAGACATACATAAAAATGAACAACACATAGTGCCTTGTGAATCTTCCCAAAGAAAGAGACCCAGTGGCTTATGAAGGCTCTGGGGAAAGGGGAACATAGTCAAAGTGGGGGGTGGCAGTTCTTAAAGGCTTCTTGGAAATGACACCTGAGTTGAGCACTAAGGAACACTTACTAGCAGTCAGGGAGAGCCTTTGAGACACAGAGAAGCATGTAATGGCCTAGAAGCAAAAGATGCAGGTGTTGGAAACCCTTAAGTAGTTTGGTGTGTGTGTGTGTGTGTGTGTGTGTGTGTGTGTGTGTGTGTAGCTTCTAAATTGATGCTAATGGATATTTTTATTAGGAAAGGGCTGGAATTTGTTTATAGGCTGTATGGAAAGAGACAATGGGACCCACCAGGAACACACACACACATACACACACACACACACACACACACACACACACTGATTGGTCTTGGCTAAGAAAATCACCTCACAGATTGAAATGCAGACTGTCAGTAGTTGGGATGAAATTGAGGGAGTTTCTTTTTTTTTTTTTTTTTTTTTTTTTTTTTTTTTTTTTTTTTTTAATAA